AAAAAAAAAAAAAAGAAAGAAAGAAATCGGGAAAATTATAGGTTAAGTAGGAGTTAGATGATAAATGATCTAGAAATAATTTTCAAAGAATATTTGGAGATACTATGTCCAAATCTGTCCTTACCTGTCAAAGACAGACCCACACAGCTCTTTTGAGAAAACATCTTCACCTAAAACTTCTAGGATTCCCCCATATTAATAAAAAAACAAATATGCTTTCACAATGTCAGGTTACCAAATACATAAGGAAATAATCTACCATAAATGAGAGGAATAGAAACAGTATATTTCACTTATGAAAAACAGTAGGTATTGGCATCATTAGAGATGCAATATAAATTAACCCTTGAGGGAATATTTATAGGTAAAAAGAATAACAGTGAGAAATGAACAAGAGACTTTCGTGACTATGCGTCAGTTATGACCATGATTGCTGATTATTTACCTGCCTGCCTACCAGAAACATCTATAACAACTTTGTGAAATACATAATAACAGTGGAGGGTAATAAGAATAATCAACATAGGCAGGATCTAAGAGAATCTAATCATTCAGAGAAGGAAAGTTTGTAAAGTAAGCACCGCATTAATCCTGGCTTTTAGTTTTAAGCATTTCTAAACTTCAGTGCAAAAGAATACAACCCTATTAGTCCTATTAGGTTAAAAAATCAAGGTAGGGAAAGTGTAGAGGTGCTAGTGGCTGAAACTTGAAGGACAAAATGTTGTAATAAAGAGAACTATGGAGAAGGAACCCCAAAAACCTAGCAGTAAATAACAGCTGGGAGTTAAAAGCTGAACAGTGACTATTTTTAATTATCCTGCCTTTTGTTTCACTTCTAAGTCTTTAATACCTAACAAATTGATTTTTGTGTAGAGATCCATTCTCATTTAAAACATGTGGGTAACAAATTTTGCCAGCACAATTTCATTTTCATCCATACAGTGTTTGTAGTGTCGTGATCTAGGTTTTTGTACTGTATACTATCTATGCCTTTTATTTAATGAAAGATCTAGAGTATTAAGGGGGCATTTTGAAATTGGAAGGTTAAAGTTACATAATTAAATATCCATCATGGCAACCTAAACTACCTTGAAAGTGGAAGAAAATGAAGGTATATAAAAAGCTATTATAGTTCAGCTCAATATAGAGAAATTGGATCAAATGAATATATATTGCAGAGATATAAATATTGATTTAATAAGTATTTCCCAAATACTTTGTGTAGTCATGATTATATACCTAGAGAGAATATGAGAAAATGAATCTGTGATACCAGAATCTGTGAACTCTGAAGTATGCTATTTGTTTAATTGTTACCATTCATGTATGTGCACATGGACTCATTTGTTTAACGTAAGTTAAAACTATCTATGACCAGTATTCAATTAGATTATAAAAATAAAAGCTATCCCATGGTCAGTTTTATAAATTAGCAACAGGCAAAATATATAAGTAGTGTTTGTTATTATGGACTTATAAAGATTAACTATTCTTGTTACTTATGTTTTGAATATGTGTGTATGTGCACGCACGTGCATGTGAGAGAGAGAAAGAGGGGGGGTCCAAACTGTATTGTTATTCATTCATAGGGCTGTTAGTGGGGAAAACTCATGTTCCCAATAGCATTTTGTGAGTATCTATTTGAGTCCCATTACCTTGCACTGTAATTATTGTTTACTTATCTCTTTTCTTCTTGATGGCACCTTCGGGCAAAAACCTTGTTTCATTTATTTTTTAATCCTCCTAAATCAGCAGTGTCTGACATATGTGTTTGAATGAATTTTATGCTAGTTACACAGAAGGTCATTATTAATACAAATGCTACACATTTTGTTTATTAGAAACATTTATCCAGCTTCAAAATATATCTGTGTGGAAAACTTATTGAACTTCGCTGCTTGGCTCTGACACATATTCACTTCTCTGGAAACAAATTGCTGTTAGTCCAAGAAGCTAGAGAAATGGTACCCATGGGAATAAAATTAATCTCAATATCCTGAACATCTGTGCCTAATTTGTTTTTCTTTTGGTACCTTCAGTGTAATCCAAGAAAGAAATTGGTCATACCTTTTCTGAGCTTCTCACACATAAAAATATATATCTGATTGTTAGCAGTGTTTTGCTCCAGGGAACCTACTATTTCTGACTTCTAAACATATGGTTATTTATTAATCAGATTTATCTAAAAAATGTTTAGAAATTTTACCAAATGTTATTACCTACACATTGTTACTCTTCTAGGAGCTTACTAGTTTGCCTTTCAGAGACGACCCACTTTGAAAAATCATCATAGTAAACAAGAAAATTAAAGAAAGCACATTATGACTATTCTGTGCTTTTTAAAATTCAGGAATAATTTTCAATTCACTTATGAAAACTGAATCTTAAATGCTAACTTTCACTTTTCAAGATATGCTGTTTTCATACTAATGGTTTATGAATATAAAATAGAAGGATGTAATATTTCCTCAATATTTTAGGAAAACTAACACCAAATAACACTATTAGATTTCCTCATTTTGTGCATACACACACACACACACACACACACACACACACACACACACGCACACTAAAAATCCACACCCAAGGCCCCTTCAGTTCGGTGATCCTGTATCCATAGCATCAACCATACTCCTTACCACAGTTCCTCAGAGATTTTATCTAGATAAGTACCTAAGAAAAATAAGTGCCTCTTTCTGCCAAAAGA